TCATTGGTCAACCCACATCCACAACTGCATTGGTAAACTGCTGAGCCTACAATTTCAAATATGAAAACTCGGGTAGTTTCGCGCATCCCAGTCAGTCTTTTCTACCTTTGTGTATCTGCATGTTGTCCCCATCTTAACTTATTGTTCCCTGGTTATTTTCCCTGGCCTAATCAAACAAAATTTCAGTCTTGTGCCGCGGTCTAACTATTATTATTCACATTTCTTCTAGTCTTGTGACCGAAACTTTCTAGTAATCAAGCAACTTCCTGTGTGAAATTTGCGGAGAGGATTCTCACAGATCTTGATCACCCACGCGCACGCAGAACTGACAGGTTGTCGTTCCCATCCCTTACTACGCCTCTTATTCCACTGAGTTGCACTTCGAATTAACGCTTACCGAAATTCACCTATACCTTATCTTGTACGTTTACTCACCAACAAAGAAAGGATGACAAGTAAACTTTGTCTTGAAGTTGTATTATGAAATATCCTCATCTCTGTGAACATTTTCTCCCCGTCGAATATGCTCTTTGTCACGGACGCAGTGTATAGGTTTTTAACTCGAGTGTAAACTTCACAACTTGCAAAAGTTATACACATTACACAATATAATACCATATCCTACCGCCATCCTGGTGGTCTCAGAAGTATACCTGGGTTAAATCGACACCCCAAACTCCGTTTGATCTTTTGAAATAGGGATTTTGACTTAACAATGATTTAGACCACATTCTCACACGCAATCCTGTATTCATCCGGTCAATCATATGCACGAAAGCATCATACTTGAGACTTCCGAGCTCGTGATCAGTGCGTATCATTTAGCTCATCCGGGAGATGGGGATTTTGGACCTATCGCTTGAACGCCGCTCGATCGAGCACTATCCCATCCAGCTAACAAAGGAACTGACAAGAAGCACCAATTTGTATTCATTCTGACGTCGATTGGAGGGTGATTAGAGCAAATCAATCATTCATCTTGTTGCACATTTCTGTATCCGGAATTTAAGGGCTGCTTTTTAGTCAAGTTGGTAATGTCTTGCTCTTTTGAAAAGTACCTTGTGCGCTAGCCGGTTTGGTACAGTCCTCATCCGAATTACGTTTACGGTTCAGAGATGTTTGGTCGGTACGGTTCAAAACAAGTATGCTACATTGTATGAACCAGAATTATACGGTAATGCCAAGTTTGGTGGTTACTGGTAGTACACATTCAATAACTGAAGAAAAATAGGATATGCTGTACCATCCCTTTAATCTAATGGTTCTAAGTCATTTAATATATGTGGTATACTGCGTGATGACTGGTTGTGAGCGTGTTGCTGTTGTTGTTGTTGTTGGTGGTGGTGGTGGGTCTCATCAGCAATGCGAATCCATCGACCCAATTAGGGATCGAACCCGGAACCTAACAGGCAGAATGCAAGCGTGCTACCCACTGGGCCACCGGGCAACCGATTAGACCGTTTTTCATTTTCCATTTACACGATATAGCACAACTGATCTTTGCGAGCTTGTTGCGGGCCACGGATCCTGCTCATCTCAGCACTAGCCTCTGGGGTTAAAACTCTGTTGATAACATTCACAATCTGACTACAATCAGTCCGAAACAGCTGTCCAGTGTTTCCTAGTTTTTCAATTCACGCTTCATTTGCTATATACACGACGAATTCATCCCATCTACTTGTTGTTGAAACTTACAGCGCGACTATGATTGAATAAACACCACACACAAGCACTCATGATAAGTTCACTCCTCAAGTGAAACATGCCTCGGTATACGGTTTGAATATCATTTAGTTGATAAACCAAACCGCTGTCTACAGGCGAGTTAAATATGATATTTTGATGTACCTTCGTTGATCACCGGATTTTTAGAAACAATTGTGACTACTACTTATACTATTATCAATTCAACTGCTCTCATTTCACATGGGTTTGCGAAACAAGCATTACTCTTAGACCAGCTACATTTCATATACAAAATTCTCTGCTCCCATTTCCGAATTGTTTCAACCCGTATTATATTACCGGTACGGTGTGTATGGACTAAATGGGGGAAAAGGTTTGCGTTTGTAAATTCACGTTTTTATTAAATAATGAACAAGATAATAATTGTAGCAACCACTGAAATTCATTCCTCAATTAAATTAACGATTGTAACAGTGTGTGTGTATGTCCGTGTCAGTGTCCAAAACAGAGGCAAGCTAGGTGATTGAGGAGTGAAGAGAAGCGCAATGGACGGTCAAAGGTAGTGATGTAATCCGAATTTGTCGTATGCACGTGCACGTTTTAGTCTGTTTTGCATATGCGATACTCATTCGTCCAAAGGCACTAAGTATTGTTCAGCGCGATGTGATGAAACTTGGATTGGGTGCAAGGGGAGCCGAAAGTCGACATTTGTGCAGCAGACGGTCGAGTCGGTTGGGTGCATAAATCGAACGAGGTCAGATAATCCAAAGTGGCCAAGTAGCAGAAACGATACTGCTCTTCCGTATGAACCAGTCCGATACGCTGCTGACGCAATCGTTTCACCGTGGCGTACATATCGACAACGGATTCCTGCCGCAAGCGTTCGAACACATTTGACAGGGCAATGAAAACTCCAGTTCGTCCTGTTCCAGAACTAAACGGATAGTAAACAATGTGTTTGGGTAATCACACAGAATTATCATAATATTCTCATCCATGAATGAGTGAAATTGTTTGGAAAGAAACTAAAATAATATAAAACGGTGCGTGTTAGGTGGGTGCGTTTTTCGGAAAGCTTTGTAAACTACTTCTACTTCAATGCTAGGTTATCACTGATCAACAATAAATGGCTTTGGTCACATGGTTATAGTCACATGGATGTCAAATCTTAAACGCACGTGTGGGAGCGTCGCTTCAGCTGAACAATCGCACTCTTTCTTAACCCGTCCTGGTAACCTACCTCTGCTGGTCTACCCGTCGCCCACAACGAAATGCTTGTTCACAAATGAAGTTAGCGAAAGACTGATATTACCACTATTGTTTTACAGCCATTTTCACCTAACTTATTTAGCCACTGTTTGCAATGGAAAGAGTGTACTGAGTTAAATCGTACTTATAAGGCATAACATCTTGCACAGTTTTCATCATCAGTTCAGATAGCAAGTATTGTGCATTGGAACTCATCGGCTTCTGCCGTCGAAGTTCACCTGTCTGAAAGAAGTACCGGTTCTTCACAAATGAGTAACATGCCACTTAATTCAAGGATTTCTGATTGACAACTGAATAAACTATTTCACTAAACCCTGTCGGTTGGAAACGTTCCATCTCAAACTAGAAAATCATTATTCAATCACCTTTCTCATTAATTATTCTTTTGAGGTGGTTTGCTTGCAATAAAACTGCTTGCCATAAAATGATTTACAATTAATAAATAATGTAGCTCTATTTTCGTTCAGAGTTGCTAGCGAATTACGAAACCTGAACTGGGGTTCGAACATCGGTCAGAATATACTCCGTTTGCAGCACTGCTGAGAGAGATTACCTAGACTGATACATAGTCTTTGTTGCGCACATTTATACTACAACATATGCTGTTAAAGTGCGATGGCAAACAAACAATAGAATGAAATAGGCGTAGGAAAGCTTTGTTATGACAAAAACTGGAATGTTGGGTACTGTGTTTTGTTTGTAATGAGAACCAAGAAGAAGAAATTCCGATGAACTTGCCGTAGTGGAACATTCTCGAAGTGTTCTTATTAACGCAGCATCGAAAAGGATTCAGGGCTAAGGTTTTGAATATATATTGGCTTTTAGGGTTTGCTGTTCACATTCATCTTTGTGGAACTATGTATTGCTTCGACTAAATGCTCATGATCAAAGTTTTGATGTGCTCTGCTTTGGAATGACTCAACAGGCTGCCAAAATTCAAGTGAATCTTTTCAAAAACAATCCCCCTCTCCCCTGTTATCATAGTCTGAAAAACTACCATGGTGAGTTCCAAATGTGTGATCCTCTCAGCATACCTATTTTCCACCTGCTCCAAAAGCTGCCTATTCCACTCACTCGTTTTGATTAGCAATTGGAAATCGTCAGATGCCCCTTCAGTTGTTTCCAAACAGCGGTCCTCATAAACAATAAATTCGCAAATGGTATATTTGAGCAAGTCGGATCAAATATCACGTTCTCAACTCCTTGCAGTAGCTCTTGACCAGCCGCAACCCTAAATATATTTGAAAACTGACTCTATGAGTTTGTATATTAAGCCAGTACAATGCAATCAAAAGGATGATATTTACATAACCATTATTCCATTTGAGGAATAACCATCAATGCAAGTGCCAAAGTTAACTCACCCAAATGTTTCACACAATCCATCAAGATCAAGTGTTTTGTTGGAAGTTCAAAGCATCAAGGTCACTTTAGATCCGCATACATCTCCGTCATTTCGTATCGCACAATAATAACAACTTCCACCGTTTGTCGAATCTAACCTCTCGTTAGGATCCATTGGTATTACTCGGTTTGTCGAATAATTAGCTGTCTAGCATCAGTCATAGGTCAGGTTTCATTAAATCCCTTTCGGAATTCGCTCATGGAAGTTGCGAATTGTGTGAATCAAATTTACTAGGAGAAATCTCCCGGAATAATTGCGTATTGTCTGTGCAATAAACTACCGTTTTGTATTTAAATTGTCTCACTTGAGCAAGACATTGAGGATTTTTTTCGTCCCTTTACAAGAGTCCCTATCTCTTTTTGTTCAGCTGATATTGTGCATTCGAACAAACCGCGAGAGGACAATGGAAGTGGTGGTCTCGTTTCTAATGGCACCTGTCCGTTTGGCTTGTAATTATTGTACTTTCATACTCATCCATGCGTGCCTGAGGCCATTCCTCGTCTCTCATTTATATTTGTTGCTGTAAGTACCTTTTTATTGGAATATACTCATACAAATACCATAGAAATGACCAAGGCAGACAGGAGCGCCGAAACAAGCTAGACTGAATGAGAAGAGTCATCCGAAGCCGTTGGAGACAATGAATGGTGTTTCTTGAAAGAGAAGATATGTAGTCCGAAATCAAGTGTGAGCGTGTGTAAACATGCTGAGTTTACTGTAGGGATTAGACTTTCATTCAATGTATGCCTGACAAACGAAAAAAAGAAGATTCCCAAGTAAAGCAACAGAGAGTGGCGAGCAAGTTCGTTTTCACTTCATTTCAAAACTTTCACAATCACTAACCATGCACTTGCAAGGATAATGAGCAGATGAACGATCGCCATTGTTCACAACATTAAGCCACATCACTCAGGGTTACGATGATCCCGGAATCCCCATCCAGGAAACCTAACGAGGCCTATGTGATCAAGTTTCCTGTTCAGGGTTTTCATACCCCCATACCACGTCTCATTTTTACCACCCTTTATTTTTTCGACCCAATACCTATCTCGACAAACAGCACACGCCGTGGCAATCTATTTGGTGACATGCGCAGCATATCACAGATTACGTTTTGCAAGTCAAGTTGTGCGAATATCATTTTCAAATGTCCGGATATCATCCCAAGTTGTCTGAACATCATTTTAAGTTAAATTGGCATCATTTCAAACCGTCTCGTCGACCTCATGGGCGCTGACAAGCCTCTCAGTGATGTCTGGATGACCAGCATGCGGTACAGATTTCTCGACCTCCGGTTGAAGTGCGGGGTGACGATTGTGAGACGTGCCTCGATCACACACGCCTCAAGTCCCATGACATACATATTGGTTGTTTATCTTGACAGTACGCGTACGCTTCTCTCTCACTCTCTCTCTCGCTCTCTGTGTACGATGGTCCGCTTCCCCCTAAAGTATAATATCGGGTCGTGTTACGCTGATACCACTGAATCATGCGCGATCAACGCTTGAGCCATTGCTGACCTCCGCAGCATAATGCTGCAATAGTATTCCTAATGCTGCTCCGACAACTTGGAATGATACCCGGACATCTTGAAATCCTATTTGCACTACTGAACTTGCAAATATTATAGAACATGATGAATTCGGTTTCGGGTATCATGATCTAATCAGTTCTAGTTATTTGTGATTTGATTTTCCAAGAGACTTTTATCCCTAAATAGTAATGTGTATTGTCATGTACTGGTATGAATACGAATCAGTAAACCAGGAGCTTATTTACTACTCTGTGTTGCTTTATTGGAAATGTGGCCTTTGTGACTGTTCAAACAAAAACAAGATTTAGTGTCCTACTGACATGTACACAATCACAACCTTCGTGTATTCTTAAATTCTGGATCAGTTAAGTTTTGCTGGATATTTTCAGTTTCCATTATTGATGATTTATATTCTCTATATGCACTAGAAGAACCAAAACTTTGTTTTGTTTTTCTTCACAACTCCAACGGAGCCTAGACAAATCCAGTGTCTAATTCATTCACAAAATCTGTAGAGATCGGGTACTAATCCACTGAATGAAATCTGACTGCACAGAAAGATAACAATAGGCTATACATGGTTCCCAGCTCGTCTACAGTGGAATTAGTCAGATCAATTGAATTACTTTTGAAATGATGTGGTCATTCGTTCTAATCATTAATTTTTTTTTCTCTGTCCATCTGCTTATGGTAGGTAGATCTTGGCCAACTATTTCAGCTTCAATCACGAGGGTTCACGGTTGGAGTCCTGGAAACGACACACACATGCACGTGCGTCTGATAAGTTCCAACATGGACGAACCAGTTCGGCACTTTTTTCGGCCCCTTAACACGAGGCTATTTACGGGACAGAAATGAACGCAAGCTATACACGGAACTCATAAATATGGTGTTTTGGTGGAATTGGAACATTCGCACTGAGAATAGGCCAGCTGTCCGGGGCTTTTTAATTCCGAACAGTACACTATTACTTTAATTATAATCGATGTTCTCTTCACTCACTATTATGATGCTTTGGGTTGTATTCTATTTCATGCATTGTCTGATCGGTGTTTCAAACATTTTCAATCCTGCTGATGAACAGAGGTTGGAGCACCATTATTCACTTTATTCGCAACCCGCAAAGGAGTGAATGTTTGTACGGATAACGTGCGTTATGAAAAACTACACTTTCGGTTAGATAGTCAATAAAAAAGTCAGTGACAGATGAAGGGAAGAAGGGAGGGATTTCACTTATATCATATCTGCTTGGATACTTCGATAAACTACTTAATGACAAGAGGGAACAATTTGAGATTCCACTGGGCAATGTGTGATAAGTCTAGTGTCATCCAGACTGATGTCCCGAATACCGCCTCCGTGTGTGAACCACGGATATTCGGTCAGAAAATGGCAGAAAAACTAGTCACTGAGCATAGGATGCAATCACACTGTGCGCAAATTTACGAACGAAACATTGGAGACACACGTCAGAGTTTCCGACCAGAAGGAAGACATTACACACCCCAGTGGAGAGCGCAATCACTTTCACTGGCATTGATTGATAGGTGTTTAGGCTCGAGTCAAGCAATTAATGATAATTGGATGAAGTGGGAGACACCAAAGACTGTACAAAATGAGAACCAGTACCATCATCACCATCATCAT